GGAGGAGGTTTCTTCATCAATAAACTCAGTCCTTATTTCTCATGTTTATTAAAGGTTTTATAGATTATTAACAACAGAAGTTTGACATCTTCTTTTGTAATAAAAATTAACAGATTTTAGGAAAGTTAACATTAATAAAATGTTTAAAGAAATCACTCTGCTGACGTGAACGGTTGATGAGATATTTACCTGTGAAGAAACAGGAAGTGATGTCATAGAGGAATGTCAGCATGTAAACAGAGTTGTTACAACAACTAATAAACAAACTGTAGAGACGAATCTGATGTTTCTGTAGATTATTTTTAGTCTATCAGAGATGAAGAGGAGTTAAAGTTTAAATAATATAGTTTTAATAAACAAAGACCAGAGAGTTTATTTTGTTAAAGAGTTCCTCTTTGATGTCACTTCCTGTTTTATGTTGGCTGAGACAAATTCAAAAGAAAACAGGCAGTTATGAGACAAAATGGGTTAAATCATGTTTCTTAAATATAAAATATGTTTTTTGTTACTTTTGTATCTGAAGGTTAATCTTGTCACAGGAACCTTAAAGTCCACAGTTTGTGTTTATTTTCCAGTTGTTTCCATGACGACTGATTAATCAGATACTTAAAGCTGTCAGCAGGTCACAGAGTTTGTTTCAGCTGCAGGAACTCTGAACTGAGTCTGAGTTCTGGTTCTGATCCAACTGAGACACTCAGCGTCCAGCAGGTTCTGATGGACCGAGACGTCCACCTGTCCCTCTGAGGACACCTGAGAGGGACAAACAGGACCAGCATCCAGGTCCTGCAGCTAATCAAACCCTTCAGGACCTTCCTGCCAGGACCTTCCTGCCAGGACCTTTAGTCACAGTTTAAACATGTGGAGAAATTCAGCTTCTTCTCATAAAAAATTAATTAATCTGTTTAAAAATATTTAAAACTTTCAAATGTTTAAATCTTTACTGAACGTTTGACATTTTCAGCTGCTTTGGATTTTTTCAGCTTTCTTCGACTTCTGTTTAGCTAATGTTAGCGTTTTTCCTGCTTTTTTAAGCTATCGTTCTGATCTTGTTTGTTTTTTATGCTTTTTCATTTTTTTCAGCTGTTTTGAGTTTTTAGCTATTTTAAATAATTTAAGCTTATTTTTGCTAAATTCAGCTTTGTGATAATTTTAGCTGCAGAAAATTCAGCAAATGTTGATTTTGTTCCTTTGTGCTGATTCCAGCTACTTTTAAAGCTAATTTTAGCTGTTTTTAGCTGCTCAGCTGAAATCTTTTAGCATGAAGCGTTTGTGTAGCTGTTGTTGTGTAGCTGTTGTTGTGTAGCTGTTGTTGTGTAGCTGTTGTTGTGCAGCTGTTGTTGTGTAGCTGTTGTTGTGTTCTTACCAGAGAGCAGGCGGGTCAGGAAGAGTCCAGGATCTTATCTGTACCGGGGTCCTGGAGCCAACAGGTCCAGGAGAGAAACCCAGACCTCCTTCTTCCAGCTCCTCCTCGAAAGTCCCAAAGTGGACCAGGACCAGAGAGGATGGAGTTCTGGGTCTGACCCGGGGGTCTCCTCCCAGTGGGACATGTCCTCTAAGGGGAGGTGTCCTGATCAGGTGAACCTCCTCAGGTGACTCCTTCAGATCCAGAGGAGCAGCAGGTCTACTCTGAGCCCCTCAGCCTGTCTCTGATTGACCCCACAGACCTGCTCGGATCCAGGATCAGGTCACCAGGACCCTGACCTGTGGTCTGGTCTAAAGTCTTGAACCCAGAGACTGGACCTGCAGGTTCTGATGAAGAAGTGCTCAGGTGTGGTGGTCTCTGAAAGCCTGGTGGGGTTCCTCTGGTCCTGCAGACCCGAGTCTTGGATCCGTTCAGGTTTGATGAATCTTTGTTGGAGCAGCAGGGTCCCTGGGGGGAACCGGTCCACGTCGGGTCTCTGTATTAATATGGAAGTGAAGCAGAAAACAGCTGCTCCTCACCAGAACCAGAACCAGAACCACATGCAGGATCCGTTTGTTCTGATCTGTTAACGTTCAACGCGTCCGGTCCGGTCCGGTTCTTTTACTTTATCAGATGTTTATTTCCTGTTTCATTTGTCCAATCACACCTGGTTCTGGTTCATCACACCTGGTTCTGGTTCATCACACCTGGTTCTGGTTCATCACACCTGGTTCTGGTTTATCACACCTGGTTCTGGTTCTTGAAGCTGTTCTGGGTTCTGATTGGTCACACAGTTTGCAGTTTTAGTTCGACACACCTGGCTCCAGTTTCTAATCGTCACAGTTGATTTTAGTCTCTGATTATTAAACCCAGTTTAGTTCCTGGTTCTGGATCCTGGTTCTGACACCTGGTACCAGATAGAAACAACAAAATTGGGCCCAAAAACTGAAAACAAAACAAAAAGCTTTCAAAGATAAATAAAAGACAAATTTAAAGAAACTTCAGTTTTAATAAAACTTTCATGTTAAAATGAATCTCTGGTTCTGCTCCAACAGGAAGTGATGTCAGAACTGTTCTGGTCCAGTCCTCAGGGCTCTAACAGCTGGTTCCAGTGGTTCCAGTGGTTCAGAACCAGGTCCTGGCAGCAGCTCTGTTTGTGTTTATAATCTGGGCCGGCAGCTCAGAAACTAAAAGTCCCAGTTCTTCTCTGGGACTGCAGCTCGGGCTGTAAATGGGCCGGGTCTGGGCCGGTTCTCCCCGCGGGGCGGTGGAAGCGACTCGAACAGATTCTGTGGGACTCAGTGGGGACCAGAATCGAGGTTGAATGTCGAGGCTCTGCGGGTCGGCCCGTTTGTCGCAGCAGAGGCAGCTAAAAGTGAGTTTTCTGATCTTTAAATGGGTCGACGGGTTTTTCCTCGGAGCCAGCGGCCCACATTTCATCTGGACCTGGTTCCGCACAAGTGGATTAGTGGGCTGGGTCTGTCAGGTTTTACAGGTCCAGTCCGTCTGTTTGAGTCCATCGGGTGGAACCAAAGAGTCAACAGGAAGAAACTGATCTGGTCCAAACACAAACCTGGATCTGTAACAAAAACCAGGACTTGGTTTGACTGAGGAGGGTCTTCTTTAGTCCACAGACCGGATCAGAACAGACCACCAGAGACAGGCTGGACTAAATAAAACCGTTCATCTCAGTAGATCAGACAGTTTGTTTTTCAAAGACCAAGAAACTTGTCGCTGAGTCAGAACAAGGGACCACTTCAGTCAGGGTTCTCTGGAGACCCCTAAAGTCAAAACCTTGATCCAGCAGGTCTCCA